ACTGTGGACGTCCTTCTAAATGTGTGAAATGCGCGGGTGATCATCACACAAAAACATGTAGCAAAACAAGAGAAACCCCAGCGATCTGCGTTAACTGTGGCGGTGATCACCCCGCAAATTATTCTAAGTGCGAAGCTTACCTGTCAAAATTACAAAGATTAGAGGAGAGAAGGCCTAAAGCCAAAACTAAATATGTACCCGCCCCCGCACCGAAAATAAACCAATGGGAGGCCAGACAGCGAAATCGTAGTGAAAATTCGGAATATCCTTCACTGACAACTAGAAACGCCCCGCCCACTCGGTATATCGAAGAAAACGAAGCAAAGAAGAACACAACAGAAAGAAATATACCGCAGAACACCCAAATGGATGACTTCTCCGCACTCAATCACGAATTAAATATTTTAAACAGGTTAGTCAATATTGGTGAACTTACAAGGGCGATCAGAGCACTGAACGCCAAACTCAAAAATTGCAACTCGGGTCAACAAATCATTGAAACATATAACGCGTTCATGAGTAACGTAGACAACACATTCAATATTAGGAACTGAATTCAATTCAAGGGACAAACAAAAACTCAAAATTTGTTTTTATAATGCAAATGGGATGCGAACAAGAACATCACTTGTTCGTAACTTCATTCATAAACATAAATTCGACATCGTACTTATTACCGAAACACATTACAAACAATCAGACAGAATTAAAATACACGGGTACGACATCATCAGACATGACAGACCGGAACAGTCATGGGGTGGTGTGGCTTTTTGTATTAGATCTGAAATTACCTATGAACATCTAGCAAATTTAAATATACCGCAAGAACATTTAATAATAAAAATTGCAAATATCAACTTTGTCGGGCTATATAATCCACCAGATAGTGCTTTCACTAAAAATATGATAAATACAATCATGTCATCAGGAAATAGAGTCCTTCTACTGGGTGATCTTAACTGCAAACATCCCCACTGGGATTCGAACTGCCAGCGCCCAAATAAAAACGGGAAAAATCTGGATGAATTCGCCGAAACCAACGATATCATTATACATTATCCCGAAGACCCCACCTACTTCCCTTCCACCCCAAGATACACCCCCTCCACAATTGACATCGCGGCTGCCAAAAATGTACCGAACGTGGAGAATACAAGGACAATCAAAACACTTACTTCGGATCACGATCCTGTATACTTGGAGATAAGGACTACACGCCTGATACCAAGGATACAGGGTCGTTATTACGACTACAAAACAACAGACTGGACGAAATACAGAAAAACACTGGACGAAAACATTGACATTAACAATAACATTACAGATAGGCAATCTCTTGAGGAAGAAATTAAGCATCTTACAGAAGTAATCATAAATGCCAGAAACAGTTCTACAAAACTAATTACATTAAAGCCACTAAAGGATGATCTTCCTCAAGAGATTCTCGACCTAATTACAAACAAGAACTACATACGTAGACGTTGGCAGACGCACCGACAAGCCGCCGACAGGGTCATGTTCCAGGAGTTAGGAAAAGCCATAAACAGAGAAATCAATAATTTTAGGAACCTAAAATGGCGCAAGACCCTGGAGGCGATTAACATAAAAGACAACTCAGTGTGGAAAATTGTGAGGCGGTACAGAAAACCGTTCTCGCAGCTTCCCACACTGAAACACAATAACAACGCATACTCGACAGACGTACAAAAATGCACGGCTTTCGGCGAATTCTTCCAAAATAATTTTATCAATGAACAAGTCAATAATCAAGAACAAACAGAAATCACCAACATAGTCAATGACATAAGGCAAATGCCAGTACAAATAGTTCCAACAAATTCATTAACCACACCTAAAGAAATAATAAGCATTATCAAAAAGACACCCAGTAAAAGGGCTCCAGGACCTGATAATATCCAAAATATATTGTTAAAAAACTTATCAAAAAAAATTTGCGTACACTTACACTACATAATCAATGCTATAATTAAACTCCAGTGGTATCCGGACGCATTTAAAGTTGCAAATGTGGTCCCGATACACAAAAAAGGTAAGAGCAGATCTGATATAGAAGGCTACCGCCCTATATCTCTTCTAAACGGCTTAGCCAAAATTACAGATCGTGTGCTGCTCACGAGGCTACACACTTACGAACAAGACACCACAATTATTCCGGCGGAACAGTACGGTTTCAAAGCCGGCCACAGCACGATTGCACAAATAATACGAATTGCACAACATGCAAAAGATGCATATAATCAAAATCAACAAACCGTATTAGTTGCAATCGATGCTGCAAAGGCGTTTGACACCGTCTGGACCGACGGCTTAATACACAAAATGTTTATGAATGATTACCCTGTTTTCATTGTAAAAACAATTCAAACATACCTACAGGACCGTAAATTCTACGTTAAAATTCACAATTCGCGTAGTGGACCATACACAGCGATGGCGGGAGTACCCCAAGGTTCGGTACTGGCGCCGCATCTGTATACCATCATGACTCATGATTTTCCCATGGGACAAAATGGTATACAGACGGCCCTGTACGCCGACGACACTTGCGTGTATAAAATGTCACATACAGCTGAGATCGCGACCAGGAGACTGGACATCCACGTAAACAGAACGCTAGTACCGTATTTCAACGCAAATAAAATCAAAATAAATGTGACTAAAACTGAAAGTATGGTTCTGTCACACAAAACAAGGGACAGAATTATTACAAAACTTAAAGTGCAAAATCAGCAAATAGAAACAAAAAACTCCATGAGGTACCTAGGTTTTATGCTGGACCGGAGGTTAACTTTCAAAAACCACATAGAGGAAAGAATTGCCAAAGCTACCGGAGCGTTAAAAACTTTATATCCGATGCTACATCGAAGAAGCGGTGTGACATCGGAAAATAAAGTACTACTTTATAAACAGGTACTACGGCCAATACTGTTATATGGATGTCCAGTCTACTGCTCAATGGCGAACATCCATTACAAAAAGCTTCAAATTTTTCAAAACAAGTGTCTGCGGCTGGCTTTAGGGTGTGACCGTTACGCTAGAATAATTGATATGCATGCGCAAGCATCCATGGAAACAGTGAAAGATCATGTCATGAGATTAGCAGAGGGCTTTTACGACAAATGTTTACCTCCAGAACTCAAAAATCACATCACCTCTATCCATCAGGGGGATGGTATTCACAGAATCCATGGATGTCTGCATAAGGCACTATCAATTTACACACAGGATCAAAATTAAATTCAAAACGATAGACATACATCCTCCATAGCAGCGTAAACCCCACTGAATACTCAAATTACAACGTCGACTAGTTAGCAACTTTGGTCGGACGGACGACTGCACGGTGACGTCACAGCTCGGTGCGAAAATCTCGTGGCTTGCTGCGAATTTTGCATGGGACTGTGGTGGCGCTGTGTAGTCTTGTAATTTGAATTTTCATGCACATAAACTATACAAGACACACTTACAAACAAGGACAACCCTGTTTTTTACGAATGGTTTTTCAGGGAAACACAGACAAAATTAAATTCAAACAAAAAATCCTCTACTATTCCATTATCGCCCTTGCAAGATCACCAAAATTGACTTATAATGTTGCTATCTCAACAAGGAGAAGTCATTCAGCCAAAATAACAAATAATGAAGATCATCTGCACGACCATGACATCGGTCTGGTCTCTACACGAGGCCACAAAAGCGAATACTTCACTCAGTGAGAAGAAATCCTTTTTTATGATGTAAATGATCTGTTATTATAAACACTTTTGTACATATTGTAAATAAATACCCTTTGAAAACAAAACAAACAATATTTTAGAAACTTCATTCGTGAAGAATCTTCCACGCATTCTCACAACTTAAAGCATTCGCTTCTTCGTTGCTCATAAAGGGTTCAGTATCATTTACAAAAAAATGGATAAAAAGCTATGCATCACACCCGCAATCAAACAAATATGTAAATTGTTTTTTGGTATACAGGGAAAATAACAAAATAACTATTCTAAATAGTCAAAAACTTTTAAATTCAAGTAAAGAACAAAACGTTATTTAAAAATGTTGATGGAAATTAAACATTTTCTTAGAATGTTAATTCCAAGCCCCATATTTAGAAAACTTTACTTAGAAGTTTATTATTTTACCTGTTCTTGATTTTTAACAATTTCCATTCAATTTAAGTAATTTTGAAGGAGGTATTCTGGGAATTTTAAAAGGTGATTAACTGTTTAATGAGATATAATTCAGATAAACTCATGAAAAGGCAACAGAAAACACCATTTTACATAGAATTATAATACTACATAAGTTTAAATGATTATTGCTAATTGGTTTCTCATACGTCTTAGGTATTAATAACATTCTTGATTATTTCGGTCTTTACTTGATAAAAATCAATAAATAATACTAGGAAAATCCAAACTATGGTAGATTTTCACAAAAATAATTGAATTAATATTTTCTAACAACCTATTTGTAACACTACTTTTTTAATACTTAATAATTTGAGATATAATGCTTCTAATAAGCTTTCAAATATGGTATTTCTAAAGTCCAAATTAATAAACCATTATAGTTATTGTATTAAAATAATTCTAAAAATGTTTAAATGTAAATATTTTATTTTAGTTATATTTCTTTTGCTTCTATTTCTTTGAAAAGTATGCTATGTGTTCTATCAAATAATAATGTCTACATGGTAAAGTACTAAGATTTAATTCATAAATAAAATTGAATAAAGTGGGCAGTAAGACACATCTGCGATCACCTGATTTTACCTTGTTTGATTTTGTTTCGAATTACGTTAAAGATATTGTTTATATAGAAACCTTACCCTTACAACTATACTTCTCAATTTTTTAAATAATCTACAATTGTAGATACTCACTCAATGTTTAATATTGTTAATTTTAAGTGAAATTTATAAAAGTAGTAATACTGATTCGATCGTAAAATAAATAAACGATTTGTATTTGTTTAAGGGCTGAGAAAAGCGAAATTTTCAACCATGAAGAACTACAAATTGCTGATCAGAAAGTTGAGTTTCTTAGGGGAGCTGTCAGCTCTATCACTAAGAAAATTGCCCCGAATGGACCCACCGTAGATCCAGAAAAATTATTGGTAAGAGAATTTTTTATTTATTTATTAACTATTTTTATCTTTCCATAACTGGTGTATAATAAATTGCAACCGTTTTATTAGAAAATACTCATTAAAGTTTCCAACAAATTATTGGGAAAGATAATACCAAAAATTAATTTTTAACATACTAAAATAAAATCAAAAACTGTTTATCCCAAAAAGCATTTACATCAAAAACATTTCTTGATTTTGAACTTTGCTTAATTTTCTATTACAGAAAAAAACCGTTGAATACCAACTAGGCACAACTTTTATAGAAGAATCTAAACAATCTAGAGACTGTCCCCTAATTCATGTTATCCTAAAAGAATGCGGTGCTGTGGAGCAACAGCTGGCAAGAGACTACTCCGATCATGAACTTAAAGTTGAAGAACTAGTCTATGCACCGTTGCAAAACGTTCTAGAAAACGATTTTCCAAATATACTGAAGCACAAACACAATTTAAAGAAGTATTGTTTGGACAAAGACTCTGCTAGCAACAGATACCAGGTAATTGCGTTGTTGTACCTCTGAGTTCAATCTTACGCTTTCTAATATTCATTATTAATGCAAAGCACTATTCTAATTTGTTATTTTAGGCTTCCGGTAAGGACACTTTGCGCGAAGACATGGAGGAGGCCGATACGAAGGTAGAGCAAAGCCGAGACGCTTTGGCCATAGAAATGTTCAACGTTTTAGCTAAGGAAAATGAAATATCCGAGTATATTTTGCAGATGTTGAAAGTGCAGAGGAGTCATCACGAAAGTGCTCTTAAAAATTTGCAGTCTGTGATTCCTCTTTTGGAAAAAATAATTGGTAAGTTTTGTTAAAACGATAGAAGCTTAGAAGTTATTGGCGGTTTATTTGTAGGTGATAGTGCAGTAAGGAAAGTCTTCGGTACGTCACTGAAAGAACACCTTCGAATTACCAACAAACGGATCGCTTATCCATTGGAAATTTGCATATCAGCGTTGACTGAATACGGAATGTCCGAGGAGGGTTTATTCCGGGTAGCTGCTAGCACATCAAAAGTGAAAAGACTGAAAGCCTCTATCGATTCAGGGTGTTTTTCTCACCTCATACCGGAGTACAGGGACGTTCATATTTTGTCTAGTTTATTGAAACTGTATCTTAGGGAATTGCCGGAGCCTTTGTTGACCTATCATTTGCACAAGGATTGGCTGGACGCTGGACAGGTAAATTTCAAAATACATCGTAGCTACTTTTTTCCATGTTGCCACATTTTTTCTTAGGTACCAGAATCCCATCGCTTAGAAGTCGTAAGAGACATCATACAAAGGCTGCCGCAAGAAAACCGAGACAATCTAGCTTACCTCTTCCAGTTCCTCTCCAAACTTGCCAAGCACCCCGAAAACAAAATGACGGCTTCGAACATCGCCATAGTCCTATCGCCTAACCTGCTTTGGAACAAGCACGAAAATTTGAACGTTAATATCGGTAATTGCGTAACCGTCAATATTCTAGTCGAGCTAATGGTTAAGGAAAGTGATAATCTGTTTCCGGAAGACGCCAGCAAGCTGGTTAGCTTTTTGGACATATTTCAGGTATTTTTATTATATTCAACAGTTATTATTACTTATCTTTCTTTAGGTCAGCCATACTCAACCTTTTTTTCCTTTGGGCCACATACATATGTTTGCTATGTTACACGGGCCGCAATATTTTTGTATGATGACCCTTTATTTAGGCCATCCATTTAAAATTAGTTAGTGGGAATCTCTAATTAATAAAATACAAAACATAAATATATTCTATCGGGTTACTGCAAAAACAAATTAACCCACATTTGTAATGTTTCGAAAAACGCTGCTCAAAAACTTAAATTTGAATAAAAAATCAGTAAAAGCTTCAAACTGCCTAATAAATAATAAGTCCTATGAAAAAAATGTATTCAAAAGTATATACTAAGAATCTGTAATTTGTAACAAAAGAAAAAAGAAAAAAAACCGTCGCTTTACTTATTTTAGTTGTTTACATGCAGAACATAATATTCAATTTCTTGTCACTATCTTCAATGGAAGGTTCACGTGCCGTGTCTTTAACATTATTGGATACAGGTAGATTGTGATAATAATGGTGACATTCATCAGGTGCAGCACCTGATTTGCTTACTAATGTCTATTTTGTAAGTATTTAAGAGCTTTTTTTCACCCTTTCAGACATTCCTCTGGCTTGAGTTATTCAAGCAATACGAAAAGCTGGTGTTTTGGTGATTTAAGAAGTACTTTGGGTCGTTTTAATAAGAAAACAATATGGAGACGAGCGTCAGCTTTTCCGCTCGTTATAGCTTGACCAATCGCTCGTTACGGCTTGATTAATCAATCACTCACCATGGCGATTCGGGTATCACGTGTTATCATCTATTGCTTTTTAAAGGTTAGCTGTATCGTGAAAAGAAAGGGTGACATAATCACATTGTCGATTTCGGACCAATCGGAAAAGGCCAGAGACGGCTCTAGGCAAAACAGAACAAATAGCTTGGCAAAAATGTTGAAGTATTTCAACTAATACATTCAATAAAAATAAGTGTTCTAACCTGTATCTTGTTTTGGCAGAAACACTGTTAAGAATCGGACTAAACACATTTAGCATAAATAAGTTATATGCCTCTTATCTGGTTTTGGTAGACACATTATTAGCAACTGAATACAACGTTATGATTATATTTCGGTAGAAATTTCAATGATCTTGTTTGCGCATATTGTGAATGTATTAATATGGAGTTACTTTTTGTTGAATCATGAATATTTCGTTTACACTCTTTTTCATGCCGTATATTATTTGAAACATTTTGGAGGCGAAAGTGTACTTAATTCGAAAATGCCGAAAGTGAAGCCATCTTGTTTTTGCAAACGTTAATTTAAAAATTAACGTAATATTTAGCGCAGCGTCCGATGAATGTTTTCGCGCATTTTGTACAGAATTTTAAAATTAGAAACCTATAGTTTTAAAAGCACCTTTTTAATAATAGTGTTTCGGGCCACAAAAAAAAGCTTGGAGGTTGAGTATGGCTGCTTTAGATCGATGTACGCGGTATGGTTAGGATTAGTCGCGGGATTAGTACTATTAAATAAAATCAATATTTATTGCTAGTGTCCGACCGGTCAGTTTTTCGCCGATGTCTAAGCTGAAGCCGATTGTTCGACTCTTGTCGTAACCTCCGGCCGAAGCCGAAGGTTTATTAAGACTTAAAAATTTCAGAACATTTGTTGACTAAACTAACCAATGTAAATTGTAAACTATTATTGCGTTTTATATGTTGTTGACAATATATATTTATTAAAATATAACATAAAGGTAACGTAGTACAAACAAAACCTGGTTCTCTCAGAAAACTGAACTAAATTAAAGAAGTATACCAAATATAAGAAACATTAGTGTCTAATTACAAATCATGAACAAAAAATAAGTATGAACCAAATAATTATAATTAATAATCAAAATCAAATGCGAGAGTCGTTTTCGTTACCTCGTGATGCGGACGGCGGGAAGCGGGAACCACGCATTGCGCTGAAATCGGCGTCATTCGTAAATCGTAATATTTTTTTCGTTTAGTTTCGGCGGCTGGCCGGCAGGACATAAACCTTCGGCTTCGGTAAAAAACCTTCGACTGGTTTTGGCCGAAGCCGTAGCCGAAGCTTCGGACGGACTTTATTTATTGCCTTTCTTTCACAATTTTTAACATCGCCTTTAATAGACTTCCATAACGACTACACTGTTCCATATAAATTTTCCACTGAGGGTTAGGGTGGATGTTCTAACACTTGGCCAAAAATCTCGACAGACAGTGCAGTGTGGGCTGCAGAATTGTCCTAATGAAGAAACCATTATGTGGTTTTTTTAAACTCTGTCTTAACACTTTTCTGATTCCAAATACTTAATCGACCGTTTTTTTTTTTTGAATCAATGCACTGATATTTTTTAATATTTTTGTGTTTCAGCTGCAAAATCATTCTAGGCGCAAATCGTCTGCGATAATTTCTTGTCCCTTGTTAAACATTTATCTCCATATTCTTCTTTCACTGAGGCATACCGTTTATGTAGCGGATTTTCCGAGTTTCACAAGGAATTTTACGTTGACGCATTTTCGGCGGCACCCATATGCCGAACAAAGGTCAAGGCTCAATTAAGAGTAAGGCTACTTTTACAATGATAGCAATAGAGAGAGAAAATGTCACGTGACACGGTCGTGTTCTGTTTTATCTTGTCTGCAGAACGACCAGTCTGGTATTTTCTATCCACACCTCGAATTACCCAGATTCAAAAGGATAATTATTAACTACGCTATTTATGCTCAACAATTTTTGGTATACAAATTTTTCATAAAATTTTCAAGCACTTCTGATGTAATTTGGTTCAAATGTCTCGGGTTTGTTGGCGTATACGTTCCTCTTCATGTAATTCCTACAGACAAAAGGCTAGGGTGGTTAAATTTGATGAAGTGTGGGCTAATTAATATCACCATATTAGCTGCAAAATATCTTTTGTGTCACATGCAGCATCTATATACATTAATTGATTTTAGTGAAATTTTACCAACAACCCCCTACTGTTTGAGTATTTGGAAACTGGAAATTTCTGGTTTTACTGGAAATGTCATTAAGTTTGATTTTTTGGAATCTATGGTTCAAATTACATATGACAGTGTTGCCAAATTTTCATTTTTTTTATATATAAACTTTTTTTAAGTAGATGTCAATGACTGGAAAATAATGTTCTAAGTAGTGCATATTGCCAGATTGACAATAAAATTTATGTCTAATGACGAAATGGCAATCAATGGTCACGTTTAAGAAAAAGTGAGATTTTAATAAAAATCACGTTTTAGAAATGGATTTTTTTATCTGAAGGATTTTAAATCAATTGGCAAAATAGATTTTGTTTCAAGTTAGTCGATTGTTTTCCAGTTAATGGCCTTTTACTTAAAAAAAAAAATCTAATGTGTCCAACACATGACTTTCCTGTCTAGTTATTACAGGCTTTTTCCGATTATTTTGTACAACCTATTGTATCACCTCTGTAAATGTTTAAGAAGATGAACTAAATACATACATTTTCCTACGACCACTTAGGAAAGTGACACATATCACTCTATATACTCCTATGGAAAGTGCCCTATATCACACGCGTATGAATAAGAATATACTTTCCACCCGTGTACGAATATGCTACTTTCCGCAGCAGCTGTCACAAAATGTCAAACACATCATTTCTATTTTGATCTATGTAATGTCCATATTAATACTTAAATCGATATGATTGTTAAATTAAATAAAGTACCCCCCCAGATGTTCCGACTTTGTCCAAAATCTAATCATTTCACGTCAGGCCGAAATAAACCTTAAGTTTAAAATTTAATGTTTTTTCCCTTATCCGTTTTTGAGTTTTCTTCAAAATTCGAAATTTACACATTTTCTCAAATATCTCGAATTTAGAGAAATTATGTATAGAATAAAAATTATAGAGAATTATATTACAAACAATTTTTAGTTAAACAATTTTTATAAAAAATTATTTTTTTTTACATTTTGTCAAATTTCTCGAATACGGACCATTTTAGGAAAATTTTGTATAGAACAAAAATTATAGATAATAATATTAGAAGTAACTTTTATTTGAAGAATTTTCTTCTCCAAACGTAAATAACAGATATATTCCAGAAAATATAAAAATGACCACCTATAAAGTACCCCCCCCCCCCCCCAGATGTTCCGACTCTGCCCAAAATCTAATCAGTTCATTAGACGTTGGAATAAAGCTTGTTTAAAATTTGGTGTTTTTCTGTGTATCGGTTCATGAGTTATGCGACACACAGACATCATCGCGAAAATAGTCAAAACAGATTCAGGGGACCTCAAAACGTAAAAATCCGTCGAAAACTCGAGGTCGAAAAAAATCATGATTCCTACCCAGACAGCACACCAAATCCTTTGGATATCTACTGAACATCCCAATATCCACTGAATGTCCAGTCCATGGTGGATATCTATTTTATATCCATGAAATGTAATTTATAGACATGCAAATATCCATAAATAATTGTAATTATATAGCAAATTATTAAAAAATTACGCCATTGTACTCGCCATTGTGGCTAATAGTACCGTTGAGATATTTAAAATTAATTTTTTTAAGGTGTAATCAATATCCCATGGACATCCACTATAAATATAAATATATCAAAGTCTAAGCGCGGACGCAAACCATCGTGGATATCTACTAGATGTAATTTTTGATTTTGCTTCCTAAGTATAGATGGCGATACCACTTTCGTATCTACTCATGCTTAACCCGCCGTAATTGAGTTTGATCGACATTGTTTCACAAACAGACTTCATTAGAGACTGAAGTCGAGAAGTTCCATTTATTGCTGAAGATTCCTAATAAGGATGATTTTCTCCTTAGTAGGCAAAATCAAAGGCAGATTGTTGAGAATATTTTTTACCTCTATTTTCTTTCGATGTTATTCAATAACCATTGGTTACTTATGAACCTCTACTAAAAATAATTATAAAATATTTATCTGAATTTCTATATCCTGCTGGGATATAGACGGACATTTGGTTGGATATCCACAAAATATATTCTATGGATATATCTGGGATTTCTTGTATTGTCTGGAGATACTCATTAGATATTTTGCTGAATATTCATAGGATATCTTCTATATTCTGGATATAGACGGACATTTGGATATCCATATTAGTTCCACGGAATATTTCTGATATCCTGTGGATATATTGGATATCCACAAAATATATTCTGTGGATATCTCTGGGATTTGGTGTGTTGTCTGGGTATACTTTCCTTATATCTGTATACAGATAGAAAAGTAAAAAAAAGCGTTTGTTACATACTATTGCTATTCTTATTTTACACGAAATATAAGCCAGAGCGTTTGTAATCGTGTTCATTTTTAAATTCGCGCATTTGATGGTCCGGCAACTACGTAGTTTTTCCGAATACTTCCGATGATACACGATGCATTGAACAATCCTATAGAGAGTCAAATATTCTTGAACTCGGTAAACATTTTGAAACTATATTTTGCCTTTGTCTGTAAGCAACTCGGCCAAATTATTTTTCCACGTTTTAAAAGTGAATTTGGACAGGTCAACTTTTCATATTAGTCCGTCGGATTTATATGTGGACTTTTTAAGAGTGACCCATCACTAGTAAAAAGTATTGAATGTAAAAATCGACAATAAAACAGAATTGATTGTAAAGAAAGGAATTTAATATAAAAACGATTCGATTGTAAAGTAAATGTTGTACACAGTATCGATAGTATAAAATAATGAATGTAAAAATCGACAGTAAAAAGAATCGATTATTTTTAAAAATTTACCTAAAACGTAAGTTTATTCGGCCTAGAAAAAGTATTTTGCTGCCGCTCACTTGAAATATATAGGAAATTTATAATTTTCGATTGTTTTCTGTACGATTTTTTTTATATGTTCAAATATAAATGAATTTAAAATAAATACATAACATCTATTTATTTATTTTTTACAAAGAAAGTTGCTTTTAAGTTCCGTAATCCAAAGCTAAACATAGAAACTAGCCACATCCAAATTGTACCTCCATATTCATCATCTGGTTTTAAAAATTATCTTTTATTTTTAGAAATAAATAATGTAAATCACTTGGGCAAAAGTAATTTATTGTACCACATGTATTATGCAATATATCGCCACTCTTTTTCAACTAAACGTTTTAATTCATTGATTTGAATCTAATCTTGGGTATTTGGAAACTCTGTGTGGTTGACATTTTTCTTTCTTTCATAGGACGAGGACACTTCTAGTAATTTCAAGGCAAGTAATCCCAATTTGGATCATATCATGGACAGTCCGAAGCCCAATCAGAGAAAGAAAAAGTCTGCACCCGTGCCTCCTATCTCAAGGATAGACAAAGTTGATAGTACACCGAAGGCAGTGCCCACTTCGCCAAAGAATTTAATTAAGTAAGTAATTTAAACTATATCTAGATGCAAAATCTTTTAATTCAACAAATTTACATTTTAATAATATCTATACCGGTCATAATAGTAACAAAAAAAAACAATACAAATTTAAATGTCTTTGCTAAAGCCTTTTAAGATTCTTATTTAATTTAAAAGTTAGATGTCACTTGCTACATTTACCAATAAACATTCCAGTGTAGAAATAATCCATTTTAAAAGGTTATTCTCTATAAGAAGTGCTATATTCGTTATCAACAGGTCAGATGAAATCAAAGTCATACATAATCCGCCTATCCAACAATCACCTCCACATCAACAACAACCAACTCCACATCAACAACAACAACCAGCACATCAACAACAACCACATCAACAACAATTACCACCGCACCAACAACCACCCCCTTCTGTTGCGACCAACAACTCCCACACACATCCTTTCAAAATCAAACCCGAAGAAGCACCCCCTAAAATACCGCAGGCAGCGGCACACAACAATCCCGGTAAAGATAAAGAAACGTCGACCGCTAAACTAGTACAAGTTAAAAGTCATCCGTCTACTCTTCCCCGACCGAACGATGTAAACAAGAAACCGCCGTCGCCAAGCACAAAAGATGGCGTCAGCCAGACAATCCACAAATCTGACAGGGCCACGATGACTGAGGGGGTGAACAGCGCGAAGCCTCCGACTGCGGCGCAGAATAAGACGACCGAACAGAAATTTTCTTCCAGCATCTATCATAAGGTGAGTATTTTTTTTTTATCGAAATATTGTCAAATATTAGGTCCGCAACTGTTTCCTACGAAATTCAATTCCAAATTAGGAAATCTTGCCTTGCAGCAGCAGTTCAGTTTATCAACGGTTGAAAGCATCTGACTCAGCAGACCAATAATTATTTACTGGCGACCGTTGATTCTTTTAACATAAATAGGCACCTGTATGAAGAATTGCACCAAAGATTGATTCGTTCTAATAACTTGATCTATAACGTTCCTGTATAAAATCGAAATGATCTTAATAATAGAATAGTGGTACAATGATTGTGCAGATATTTTAAAGTCAGCTTCTGTACAAAACTCAAATTTGGTAAAGGTTATTCGTCTTCTAAACCATCTTTGCACATTTCTTTTTTGTTTAAAATAGTACTAAATCGTACAAAAGAGTTTAAGCACTTGGTTACAAATTAGGAATGGACAAAAACTAAAATTCAATAAGCTCAATTAAAGAAGGCAATAGATGAAATAAAACTGCGTACATAAAATAGTGAAAAAGTCTTACAAATCTTAATATGTTAATGGTATTTCAATTGTCCTGCCAAAAAACTAACTATTACTGATTCCCATAATTTAGACATTTACTTTCATATTGTGGGTGGTATAAGAACACAAATTCTTGATCTGCGTCATTCAAATATATGTTTAATTAAAGATATCACGTTTTATTCAACACACCTATAATTTAAGTCTTTAAAGTTTATTAAGTTAATTTCAAGAAAGCGTTGTGGAGTGAAAGAAAATGTAGTTTCAAATTTTGAGAAAGATATCTTGAGATGGTTTAGATTTACAGGTTTGGAAAAAATTATACGAGCCATACGGTGTAGGTACGGCCATCTCTATTAATTGCAGGCAATTATTTGTAAAACGTCGGAGAGCATCGTAATCAAATCCGTGAACATATACAATAATCATCGACATAATTTTGTTACTTTGTTTTTTTTTTTTTTTTTTTTTTTTGAGAGTTTTACGAAATTATGACGAATAGGCAGAGTTAAAATGATAACTTTAAATACATTTTATTTACCGACGATTCAACTTTTTTATTGCACAATCCAGAGACGTTGTGCTTGGGAAAATAAACATTTAAGTATTCCGATATGCACACATTATCCTCAGAAATTAAATGTTTGCATTGATATTTTAAGTGATCGCATTATTGGTCCTTTTCTATCGATGGTAAACTTCACGGTCAAAAATATTAAATTTAAATTATTATTTTTCACTGACATATATTTCTAATTTTAGAATTAGAGAATTACGTAAATATTGTATTTATTTAATTAGAGAGAACGATATCTCACAATAATTCATGCCTTATTAAATTGGAACTTTCTATGAGCTCACAAGCTAGCAGGTTACAGGAGAGGTGATAGCCGTTATACACCAAATATAGAGATGGATGTTCACTCACAGTGCCTATAGCTTATGGCTCGTATAATTTTTTTCTAATCTGTATAAAGAAGATGAACGATAGGAGATAGACGAAACACGTTTACAAGACGAGTGTAGATGAGAAAGTTGGAAAGGCTCAACCTCAGCGAACGTACCTCAATCAGAATGAGGAGGTTTTTAGCAAAGGCCAGCTTGGGAGTATCCTAATTAAGTTAACAACAATGTATATAGTTCAAGTTAAAAAAATTTCAGTCGTTTTACTGTTGATGTTTGTTTTTAAAATGACAGTTGCAAATTAATGTATTAGTATTATCTTTTAAGTGATTTTTGCATATATTTTTATTGTAATAGGTATTTTCTGTATGTTGTTATGTTGTTCAATAAATAAATAAAATATTTTTTTTTGTAATGTTTTGCTGGTACCAAGGACAGAGTAGGGTGTCTCATTTTCTTGGGAACCACTGTTTACCCTTTTCTGCCTTGGCTTTTTACAAGTTTGACAATTTAAACTCGATAAAAACGTTTTTTCTTACCAGGTCAGCACCCCAACTGTGATACCCGACAATAAACCCGCCGAAGACGCCGAAGAAATCCCAATCCGAAGAAAAGATCCTAGTATGAAACCCGAAATCCCAGCCCGACCCTCATCGCTGCGAACGACGGCGCAATGTTCGGTGTACAACGTCGCCAATAAGCAACAGCCCAGCTACATCAACATACAAGGCAAACAGGAGATCTACCAACCCGGTCACGACAACAAAATCGCCGACAAGGAACGATTTTTGGGCCACAGGGCCGAAGACAGAGACTCGAATCACAACAGTGACGGTACGAATAACAGAACTTTATCGGGCGACCATCTGGACAGTGAAGTGCAGATCGACATGGTCAAATCAGCCGATAGTATCGAGAAGAGTAACGAAATATGTGATAGGAAGAACGCAAACCAAAAGTCTAGTCATACTCGAGCCAGGTCCGACGGGGGGATCATAGATTTGAATAAGACGGTTATGAATACCGGTACGGTGGGTAGGAATTTAAGTAAACCTACCCAACCGCCTCCTCCTCCGCCCGATTTGTCATAAGAGTTTGGGGTGCTGTTAATATTTTACTCTTCTTATTTTTCGTTTCGGAGCTTCTGTGTTCCTTCCCTTGATCCTGTTTTGGGATTTTTCTTGCTTTGAACTGTGCTGAATTTTTGTTTAGGACTTAATTTTGAAACGGTAAATACCCAAAATAGTTTGAATTTGTATCTTGATGAAATTTTAAACGCTACTGGCATACAAATATAAGTTAGTTAATAGCAAATATCTTCGGTAGCACTAAAGACTTCAGATGGTGATATTTATGTCTTGGCATCTACTTAACATGAAAGTGACATTTACTTCCATCAGAGCGTAAAATAATGGCGGAACTCTTATCTGCAGTAACGAATGTGTTTTAGAACAAATAATTAGTTTGAAGTTGCCCTTAATACTTTCACATTTTCTATTTTAAAATTTTTTAATAACGCTTTTTCCTCTTTGTTTTGGTTCTTTATATTCTGGATTTGACTAATTCCATAGACAAGGGTATTGAAAACATTTCAAAAATGTAAGCTCATTAAACAAATACATACCATAACTTGTAAGAAGCATGGTCTAGTATCGTACTATCGTAACTGAAAAGAAATTTAGGGCTGTCTGCTGTTTCAATTTTTTAACTATATTTGAATATTTATCTTCAATGTAACGCACTGTATATGCTAGTTTTGAAGTCTTCAATGGTCATGAAATTCTTAATGTAAATGAGTTTCTGGAGTAATAAAATTGTTTTTTTTACAGTAATTTATTCTACTGATGATATAAATTACAAGTCTATTTATTATGAATATAATAAATCTCTGAGTATGTTTATTTTTTGTTGGTGACTGCATTATATTCATTCCTCCAGCTGTGAAGAGATTCGATAATGGAATGAATTGTCAAGGCTCCTTTCTAAAATTAACCTGATATATCTATAGCAACGTTTACTTTGTGTCTTACAGCCAATAATTTTATTTGCTCATATGTAACGTTTCTTGACGGAATATTTTTCGCGGCAAAAAGTGACTCTATGTAAATGCCTATGTACATCACAAAAATGCCTTGTGTTTTTAATACTCTCCAACGTTCGGACTAGGAAAGTGAGAGACATTTGATGCCAATGCCACAACATTGCAAAGTTTTGATTTATGACTTATCATCACATCAAGGCTTCGAGACATTCAATAGTTCAGACATTATTTTGGAATTTAATGTTACGACACTATCTGAAGTGTTAACCATTCAAAGAAATTGTAAATATGATGAGCAAATATTCTGCTTGCAATAGTGATGGGTCTTCTACGGACATGTAGCCCTTCTCTTTTGTTATAGTCTTTTGACCCTCTAGCTAGAAACTGCGGCTTGATATTCCCTAGGATCAGTTAAAAATATTTTTTTGTCATTGTTTCTAAAGTTACTAATATATATTATGGTTTTATGGTGCTGTAAAATAATTAGACGTTTTATCTGTTTTTTTTTTCTATTTCTCTAATTTTTCGCAGCATTCAACTTTTGCTAATTTGAAAATTTTTTTTTCTGAATTACTTTTTTAACGACTTTATTCCACCATGCTATTTGCTTGATTCTCTATTCCCTTTGAAAATACTACATACTTTCTTTGATGCATCCATCAAATATTATATATTTGGATTATTTCCCTTTGTAAATAGATTTGTATGTCAAACTCGGTAGCGTTTAAAAAAGAATTTAAGTTACTGGAGTACTGCACAAAATGCAACAATTAGCAAAATTATATTTAACTCCAAAAATGTCTAGACAATAACTAAGTTCAACTCGGAAAATTCAAAAATACTGGATATGAGAAAGGAAAAAGAAGCTTCTAGTGCTGTTTTTTATTACAGTAAGGGAAAAACATGTTGATTATGAATCAAAATCGTAGAATAAATATTTTCTTAGTTCGATCACTACATTTACAAATGTCTAAAGTTTTGTCTTTAATCTATTCTTTCTGATCATCAAATAATTGACATCACTAATTGCCGTTTGAATGCATTAACTAATTTGAGACGTCTGACAAATGATAAACGTAACACATGACACATAATTTAATAATTGACATAGTTCTGACAATAATTTGACAGTTGACATAGAATAGGGTTGGATGAAAAGAAGAATTGATTGAAAAGGCAAAATTTTGGAACATTGCAAAACAAGTAGCAATTTATTACTAGTGCAATATTACGAAAGTGCACCTTGCAATGAAAAAATGTTATTGAAAATTTAAAATTCGTTAAGTTTCGTAGGTTTTTAAATTTAACACAGAACTGCGTGTTTGTATATTGCGTATTTTAGTTTAAATCCACCCTATTTTATATATAAAAATGTTAAAAATCCGTATTACTAAAATATGCAAAAGTTCTTCCAAAGTTTTTTTAGGAAGTTGATTTTAGTTTAAATACTCTTGTTTGTTAAAAACGTTGTTAATGTTAAAAGTGATGTTAAACGTTACAAAAGCATTTAGTTTTTCCCAAAAAAAGTACTCTTTAGGTAGTAAAAATAGTATCGGGAGGAATGTTAAAAAGTATTTATTAGTTTTACTAAAAAGAAATGAGTAATTTTCTCACTTTCGATTCCTTACTGAAATTATTTGTTTCCATCTCTAATCTTTTTAATTCCCTTCATTTTGATTGCAGTTCTAATTTCTATGGCATCTATGTCTCTAAACAGAACCGTCTCTATCTATTTAGACCTTAACAGACACACAGAAACATGCAAAATTCGAATTAAGATGGTAGTTGGCAAACTAATGTATTATGTCTTGTTCACCTCTATCGCCTGCACAAGAAACATCAATATTATGTAGTGTTGTTGATCTGCCGCTTGTGACACTAATTTCGAGCCATGTTTTCCTCATTTTGAGAATAGGTCCAATAGTATTATATCGCTTTGTTTTGCTTGTACCCATCTTACACCCAATTCGTCTGAGAGTCATACCATTGATAGTAATTAAAATTTTATTTTTCGTCGTAAGTACCGACCTTTGTAGGTTTTTTTTTAATCTTTGAATATTTCAGCTTGCTCATTAATCGTTAAAATATTGTGTAAAATTATAATTATTGCTTGAAATTGCATTCAACGTTCTTTGCAGCTTTCTTGTATATTTTTCTTAGTGTATGGCTGTGATCTACTATTTATTATTCATTGATTTGATAATCTGTCATTTTTAATTGCAGTCTTTCCTTAATTTTTTTTCTGTGCTAATTGTATTTAGCCCATGTTAATTCATAGTACCTTTGTCCCTTGTACAAGTTTGTTACAAGTCCTTGGATCAACCTGTGGTTGTCCAAAAAGTGCCAATCTTTTGCGATCCAATGTTTCACACTTGCCCAATATGTGTTGAACTGTTTCTGGTTCCTTATAACAAAGTTGACACAATAAGTCTCCTATTTTGTTCTAGAGCATGCCCAGTCATGAGTTATGTTATTGTTTTCGGCTGGTTCCTATGCAAGTTTTCTTATCTGCTTGTTTTGGGACATTCTCCCAATAATTGTGTTTTCTCCGAACCCAGTCTTTTATGACACCTCGAACTGTACTTTTTGGTACTCCAAGGTTTATAGCTGGTTCCGGTATTTCTTCTGACCCTTTCGTCAGCCTTCTCATTGCCCTTGATTCCTTGATGACCTGATGCCCAAACTAGTATTACTATATTTCGGTTTACCAATGTTCTCAGTTTTTCGATCCAATCCCATACAACCTCAAAGTCACTTTCTGGCTCTATATTGGCTGCTTATTTTCGGTAGCTCTCCTATTATTATTTTTTGCACATTGCAAGATTTCATAAACATCGGCCTGAAATACTGAAGTATGTTTTCCTATTGCATAGGTTGGTGTTAGGGGGTTTGAAGAATACTCCAGCCCTAGTAATTTCTGCTATTTTTAAGCCATCTGTGTACCAGGTTTGTTCCTGTCGTTGATCTCCGTTCCGTTCGGTTCTTAATTATTGGTACAGTTACTACTTTGTACGCTATGTCCACTAAAGCTATTCTTCTGTAGTTCTCGCATTGTTTGCTATCTCCCTTTTTGAGCAGTGCTTGCTGCTATCTGAAATTTCTTGCTTGTGTCCAAACTTCCTGTACTATTTCTACCAGGTGAACTTGTTTCAGACTTACTTTATTTCTCTTTTGCATTACATTTTAACCTTTATTTCTCCTACATTCATTCTTCTCTAATTTCTTCCCCTTGGTTGATCCCTTTATTCAAAATAATATCCTAAAACTATTTCTTGTGTTCCTAAGAATAAATCCGCCATTTTAGTTGTCTCTTGATTCTTTATATGTCTCTTGATTCTGTTCAAAGTTTGAAATCTATAATTGAGAATAAGGTGCTCGATTATTTTTTCAATAGATGGTGACAAGCTGCGTTTTTGTATGGTATTAGTTTGAATTATACTGTGTTGCTTGATTTCCTTCTCAGTGCCTGGTTCCTTTTAAATTTACGTTATCCAGAAAATAATCGAAAGCTGAGAATATAATTTTATACTGTTTTTTCTTGTAAAACTAATGAGATTTTAACTCATCCCTCATCTTGCATTTCTTCTGCGATTCTGCATGAGTATTAGTCATTTAAAAAATGTTCATTTCTATTTTTTTCCATATCTCTAGCTCGTTTTTAATCATGTAACCTATACATATTATACGCTTGACTATATCTTATATAGCTTAACCTATTTATTTCTCATAATAAAAAATAAAAGTAAAACCCAAATATGTTTTAAGTTCTACTTTTATCGGGCTTCAAAAGCTCCGTTCTTGTGTATTTTTTGTTTTTTTATGAAATAATAGTCTATGTGTCGGTATAGAACAAATTTTCAATGCAATGGAACTGTTAATATAATTTAACCCCTTATGAGTTAATTTTAAGCCCATACGCAGAGTTTGGGCGTGGCAGGGACAGTTGTTATAATTATTGGGGCGACATACAGAGGATTGATAGTGTGCCATTTGACTTATAGGTGAGGAAAACCTCACTTGCCAGATAACAGTAATAAATCAAATAATATT